TGGTACAAGATCAATTATTTGACACATCTTGCCATACATCAAAAACATTTCAGAAGCAGTAGAACACAGCTTCTGAGATCTGCAAGTGGGCATCACACACCACCCAGCGGTTACCATACAAAGACAAATCATGCTTTGCAAAGATTGCTTGGAGGTGGGAGATACGTCTAATGTTATCTACCAGATCCCCTGTATAGATTGTTCCTGTGACTATTAGGACAGATGGGTAAGAAGTTAACAACCAGATTGGAAGAACACAGGGGAGCTGAGAGATGAGGAACCCAAATTAATTCGTAGACTCAAATTGCAATGAATAAAGTGTACATTCAATTTTTGCAGCTACTAAGATTGTACAGAGTGCAGGTACAAAGATAGCCAGAGAAATGATTGGAGCCTGGGAACGAGTCCCTTGTCAGTCAACAAGAATCCTGATTTACCACCTCTTATTGGGTACTTAGGAGCCAAGGACTTGGCAGCACAAAGAATCAACAGCTAATTGCTGGCCATCAACATATCAATCAACCAATAGGCAGGTACCATATAAATATGATCCATACAATATAGCACAAAGCATATATTTCAGTAGAGAGAAATTCCCTGAATATGTACCCCGGCATGAATACAGAAGCTTGGAAGATTAAACTTCTGGTCCCCTCCCCAGTGACCAACCCAGATTGGATATTGTGTTGAATATGTTAGCCAGCTTGAGTTATTTGTAAAAAGAATAAAAGGCGGGATCTAAATAAATAAATATTTCAAACAACATAGTATGTACCCAGAAAATCTAGTTAACTTACGAAGATCTAGAATGAGTGTGATTCTTTTTTATCATTATATCCTTACATTAACGACATAATTGTGTTTATTTTGTCCTACTTCATGTTATTGCTTTGTGGCACCTAAAGCCAGGATTATATTTTCCTGCAACTAATCAAACCAGAATCAGAAGGCAGAGAATTTCTTTTATTATCATGCCAGCTTCTTCATGTATTATGAATTACTAGCTTGTGCTTGTATATTACACAACCTTCATTAGTTTTTCCTCTGTAATGAATGGAAGAGAATGGATGTAAGAATTGAATTTAATACACATTTTTATCATTTCTCCTCAGCCCAAAATGAATCCATGCATCATGGAAAGGTAGAAATAATGAGGTTGAGGAAGTAAAACACAATTATTTCCAAATTACTTCTAGAGGATTGCCTTACTTGGCATACTATGAACTGAAATAAGAATGAGAAACTTGTATATTGAGGAAGTATGGCAGCAAAAGACTGATCTGTTTTTTGGTGTGAAGTCTAATAGGTGACTGTGTCAGGGCAAAGAAAAGCTTGTATAAAGAAATTGAGAGCTAAGATAATTAAGTCCAAAACAATATTAGCCTTACCATACCAATTAGATAATAAAACTAATTGGCTATCTAGTAATGTTGGAGAGTCAATTCTCATCAGTGTTTCCCAAGGAAACAGTATTCCATAGAAATGGAATTGTAACGCAAGTTGTTGCCAGCAACTCCAGATGAAGCAAAATAGTCATCAAATCTGGACTCTCCCTAACTGATTTGCTGAACTGAAATAAATTTCCACTTCAGTTCATGGCTCTGCCTTGATAGGTTGATTTGCCAAGTCATAATACTATGTTGAAGATGTACATAGTCCTCACAAGACACATGACAAGCTCCTTGAACTGGACTTGACTATAAATCACAGCCCCTTAATTTTAGGCATAGTTTGATAAGAATTCCCTCTAATACCTAGGGTAGCTTAATTCCATTAGTTTAATTTCCACTGTTTCAGTAGTGCTCCCTATTCATGCTTCCTGACCTTGAATCAGTGATGTCCCACTTTCTGAAAATTACTGATTCAATGGATTAACATGATAGGTCAAATGATTCATTGTAACATTTTATCCAAAAATCTATTTAATATATTATTATTTAATACTTATATGTAATCCTTTTCATTCCTAGTTTCATGCAATGGATACATTACATAAACACAACTATGACCTGAGCAGTGCTATTAGTGTTTTGGTTCCCCTTGGAGGTCCTGTTCTTTGTAGAGATGAAATGGAGGAATGGTCGGCATCAGAGGCTAGTTTGTTTGAAGAAGCCCTAGAGAAATATGGCAAAGACTTCAATGACATACGACAAGATTTTGTAAGTAGACATATCTAAATAATTATTAAATTGCCCTTAAGTCTTTTATAGCTTTTTCCCTATTCCACAGTCAATTAAGATAAATATTTGTTATTATGAGCCTATTTTTCTATATACTGTACAGTGTACACCAGTGGTCTCCAACCTTGGAAACTTTAAGACCTGTGGACTTCAAATCCCAGAGTTCTTCAGCCAGCAAAGCTTTGTTCAGTACAGGAAGAGATTGCTCCTGAAAAAGACATAAATAGAAGAATTATTTTTCCCCTAGGGACAAAGTTTTTGAACCCTTTAACAGTGTTTCTTACAGTTTTAAATTCCAATAATAGTGGTCAAGTGTATCATATATTCCAGTTCTTAGAAAAAAAGATTATATTTCGGTCAAGAGTTTACCAGGCAAGCTCTTAATATATATTCACTTGAAACTATCAGAAGATCTTCTCTTCTTTCCCAACTGCCTTCATTGACATCGAATCACATATCACACATAGCTTAAATGACCACCAGGAGGCATTATGTGACAGTTTTTGTCTCATTTGGAACTTGTCAAATATAGCTGGAACCTATGTGGATTCTTTGGGTTCAAACCTCTACTGGGAATCAGACGTATGAATCTTTGCACTTCAGATAATAGTATGTTAGTTTTAGAAACTGTCTAGCTATTGGTGTTCAGTGGAGATGCATCAAAAGATATATGGAATCCATTAGAATAGTATATGCTATCTACCTTCCCTTATCCTTCAGAGGAGAGTGGTACAGATGTTACATAATGTTATGCCCTTATGCCTAGGTTTTATGTGACTTTCATCTCTACAAAAAATAGTTTTTCTCCGATAGCCCAACTGTTTCATCATTTCCTTTTTAAAAATATAATTTTGTATTTAATGTTTTTCAGCTTCCTTGGAAATCTCTGACTAGCATCATTGAATATTATTATATGTGGAAAACCACAGATAGATATATTCAGCAGGTAATTTTTTTGCATTTATAACATCCAAATGTACAATCTGATATAAACCAATATCTAAATGAACAATTTTAAGAGGGGGCTTTCAGGCATTACAAAATCCCTATATAAAAGGTTCAACTAAATGGCTATGTGTATGTTGTCAGCATTCCAAATATCATGCAGAATTAAATCAGAGTCCAAGGCAGAGCTACCCTTAAAGTTACAATTTAATAAAACAGACATCTTGGCAATAAACTGTGGAATCGCAATTCTGAAAACTTCCTGGGATCCCACCCAGTTGAAAGTTTGTGATCTTATCCCCACACCCATAAATCCATCACATGGTCCAATCTTCTTCGGCCATGCTGGCATCTCCACCCAGCTGGTTCTGGTCAGGTGCAGAGGTGACCTTGGGCTTCTAGAATGGAATGACAACAACACATTCCACAATTCTACTCCTATCTATTCCTCCTCCCAATTACTACACTAATGAAACGGCATAGGAAAATAATAGAGTGTGTGGCAGGCCAAAGATCCTAAAAAGGAATATAATTGCAGGCCTGACACATGTAACATAAAGCCTCCGTCCTCACTCCAGCTGTTTTGCTCTAAATCATGCGTCGGTAGTTGTGTAACACATTTCTATCCTTTCAATCAGCACTGTATACCTGGATGTGTTCAAAGCATGGGAGCTGGGAAGTTAAATGATCTGTGAGACATTGCCATTGAGCTTTTACTGGGTTTGTTTTTGGCTATTTAGATTTTTACACTTTTGTTGATATTCTGTTTTGTATTGTTTTGTAGTGTGTTGTTAGCCAGCAGGGGTCGCATCTGTGAAATGGGCTGCAATGTAATTTGAGCAAGCAGATAAACCTGGAGGAAACTGGGTTGAGGAAGGCAATGTTAGATTACCATGCATAATAATTTCAAAATACTAATTCCTGTAATTTCATTTCCCCCCTAAGGGTTTAATTAGACCTGAAGGCATTCAGGATTTAGAGTAATTGAAACTTGTTGCCCTGAATCTAGAATAGCAGTTATGCAAAACTGAATTTTTATGGCAGGACAAAACATCAGGAATTTGACCTATTATTTTATTGTCATCATACTAAGATATCTTTCAGGCTATTCTAGAGGTTTTACTAATTACTAATTCTCTTTCCTGGATCTCTGGATTCAGGCCTTTTCATTGAATTATTATAGTTACACTTCCTGAAATTTGATCTTTTGCCATTAATAGCAGCTATGCAGCGTTTACACTACCCTAGCCAAAGTTGTCTCATAAATGAAGATAACAAATCATAGTTTGGATCCAACTTATTTGAATGGTTTATCATCTACTGGTAGTAGTTTCACATGAATTATATGTGATTTATAGTTTCAGGATCCAGGCATAATTGAGAAAGATAACTTGTCTTTCACTTTCGTCTTCTTGCAAGCAGAATAATAAAAAAAGGTATACACACGCACAAAGTCTTCTACAGCTTGATTTCAGTCACCTGACTCCTGGGAGACAGTGAAACTAAGACATCGGTGTTTGCTGCCTTTTTCCATAAAACTTTACAGTGTCATTGCAGCTCACTCTTTAGCAATTTCTTATAGAATGAGCCATTCCAATTGCATTATACTTATACCTTGTTCTTTGGCTGTTTGTGATCCAATAGATGCAGAACAGAGTTTTTTCCAACTCATTGTTAAATTAACTAATTCAACTATTCTTTTTCAACTGACATGTTAAAGAGCAGAAGGGTCCATATTATTGCTACATACACAGTGGAAAACATTGTGAAAAAGCTTATCAGAAGTGGTAAATAAGGATTTGTGCGTAACTAAATTTTATACTGTATGGATATAATCACACCTCCCAACTAGCTTTCCTTAGCTTCATTTAGTACAAAACATTATAAATTCTTCTTTAAATTTAAATAGATTTCTTCCCATTAAATTCATGTGTGATATCATTGCTTAGATCCTATAAAATAGTATTTTAACTTGTATGATGAACTTTGAGCAAAAATGTTTCTTAGCTTCTGGGGTTGTGAGTCAATGTTAATATGATCAGTTTTAAAGGTTTGTCTGCTCTAGGTGTTTTCAGATAGGAAATCTAACAGTGATTATGATAAGTTATTTTTAATGTATTTTTATTGACTGAATCTGTCCCCCAAACCTGAAATTATTATGGACTTTGTTATTTAATAAAAACTGTAATATGTGTGTGCATTATATCATATTTGTGCATGAGTATGTATTGTAGTAATGATTGCAATTATTTGGAATATGTTAGCAATTACTTTAGCAACCTCATTGTTTTTTGTGTTATTGTAAAAACTCACCTTAAAGCAGTGTTTTTCAACCACTGTGCCGCGGCACACTAGTGTGCCGTGACATAGTGTAAGGTGTGCCGTGGGAGAATTACTTTATATATAGTCAATATAGGCACAGAGTTAAAAAAAAAATAACATTTTCTAATGGTGGTGTGCCTCGTGATTTTTTTCATGAAAAAAGTGTGCCTTTGCACAAAAAAGGTTGAAAAACACTGCCTTAAAGAATGCTATAATGTTCTTTCTTTGGTTAACTCCCAGGGTTTTTGTTGATACTCTTAAACATAAGCAGGAGATCTAGTTTTGACAGTACTGACTTTTCAAATGTTTAGAAATCTGAGGATCTTACAGGAATTGTCCTTGGCCCATCTCAGTTCTATGTAATGTTTCCTAGTTATAAATATACAGAAACAAATCCACATTTCATTTGAATGCAAGTTCAACTTAAATTTGTGCATGAAAATTTTAGCTTAAACTATTTTGTCAATTCAGAGAAATCAAATCTTTAAATAAAGATGTTGTTAATATTTTTAAATAAATTCTGTTAAAAAAATTAAAAGATAAAATCTAACACAAACTAATAGAGAATAAAGAAAACAAAAAGGGGGAAAAGAAAAATCAAAAGTGCAGAAAGAAAAGATAAAAAAATATTTTGCAGCAAATATAAGCATAATTACAAAGTTATCTCTTACTCTATGATTACAAAATAAACCTGTTTTTTTCATTTTCATCTAATTTTTTTGTAATCAAATTAGCAAGTCATAGTGCTAAGTTTTTGTGTTTCATGCAAAAAGTCTATAAGCATTTTCCTTTCTCTAATCAAGGAAGTGCATTTAGCTACATGCAAGAAATGTTATTAAATTGATATACTGTTTTCTTCTTATGGGATGCCTACAGTGACTGACTGATTCTTAAAACAGCTTTGTTAAAAGTTTTCATTAAGGTTGCTATTTTTAAGTTGTAATTAAATTAAATTAAATTATTCAAACCCAATGAGAGAAATCCAACTATGAATACTCAAGTGAATAAAAAATCTGGTAGAGTCTAATTGTATCTGGAAGGGATATCTAGAAGTGAAGTGTCACTATAGCAAAACCATTTCCTTGAGTGCCTTTGCAGCCAAATCTCCATGGACAGAAGCCTCTGAAGCCTCTGATATATGTCTTAAAGACTAAGAAGTTTAAAGTAATATTTTGCACAACATTGTAATGTTAACATTGTGTTAGGCACTAAATTATTCATCTTTTCTATTAGAAACGTCTAAAAGCTGCTGAAGCAGAAAGTAAACTGAAACAAGTTTACATACCAACTTAGTAAGTATAACAAACACTAATACTTTTATTTTAAAATTAATTTCAGTGTATGGACAACAAATCTCAGGTTTTTTTATTATATATATATAAAGATTGGATTTTTATTGATATACACATAAGCAGTAATCAGATTTCAGGCTGGGTTACAGCACTGAGGTGTCATTGATCATGCTTCTGGGTAGCTTCTGGCAGACCCAGGACAAGGAAGTGCATCCATTCTACTCCTTGAAGATATTGGTATCCTTTTGGTGGCAACCTAGGAGATTGAGAGTGGGGGCATGTTCTTCTCCATCCTCTTGAGACCAGTTCCAGTCAGTATTGGTGGGGAGTGAGGAGTCTATCCGTAGTCCTCTGCTTTGCAGGGTTCCATAGGACTCCTGCTCCTAATTAATGTCAGAAAGCTGCTTATTGAGGCCATTCATTAGTATGGGGTTAAAATCATCTGCATGTTATTATGTCATTTATATACCTCTACTCTGGACTGTCCAAGGCTGTTGAGGCTCTTTTTCAGTGTCTGGAGGATTTGAGGATTTGGCTAGGGAAAAACAGACTTTGTCTCCACCCTAACAAGATCAAGGGACTGTGAATTTAAGACTCCCACCCTCAATCTAGATATTTTCCACTATTATCATAGATTGAGTTAATTCTCCCAGATAGAGTGGATATTTAAATTGAAGATCAGATGCCAGTTGGGGTCCAAAAAGCTTTTGAAAAAATTCTTTTTGTGTACCAGTTATGCCCATTCCTAGATCTGGCGGTATTGCTCAGTCATTCAACCACTTCCTGGTTGAAATATTGCAGTGTAATGTAGATCAGGCTGCACTTGAAAAGCATTTTGGTCCCAAATGTCATACAGAAAATTACAGTATACCACAATGTGTATATGTAACATCATTTTTGCATGAGATACACTGGGTCCCACTAGGCTTTTGAATGTAATTCGGGATTCTAGATGTTATCTTTAAAACCCTGCATGCTTATTTCTGGGACTTTCTGTTTCTTGTAGTCATCCCACTACTGGCAATGCTTCTTTCTGTGAAGCTGCATCACTTAGTGGGAGTTACTTGAAGGTTTAGGGTGAAGTTCAAAATAATTGCTAGATGCCACTCTGAGGCATGGCTAGCTGTGGTATTCTGAAAGGTAAAGTCCACAGGTCTTAAAAGTTACCACTTTTAAATGATCCTGCTTTATAGCATCAAATGCAGAATTTTTTTATAGCAATCACAAAACTTTCTTCTATAGTAAATGGAACTTGGTTGTAACCAGTGTGGTAATAAATTACAGCTTTTCGAGAAAAATCTAAGCGTTTTAAACATGTTTTGGCATTTTCATAGAAAATATATAGTAGCATTTACCTGTACTCTTGACAATTATATCAGCAGTAGAAATGTGTGGATCAATGATTTGATTCCATTTGATGTGGCATATCAAGTTGATTTAACACTTTGATTCAAACATATTTGATTCAGATCATATTGATCATCTGAACCAAAGTCATTTTGGTTCATGGCTCAGTTGAATTGCTAACCAACCTTTGAATCAAACTTTCACATAGCTTTTGTAGTTAGCTAAGAATTTATTTAAAAATGTTTCTGCCATATAGCTCATGCAATTAATGCATGTGTGATCATTTTAAAGCAACAAACCGAATCCCAGTCAGATATCCAGCAATAATGGAAAACCAGGCGCCATGAATGGGGCAGTTGGAGCACCACACCAGACTCAGAACTCACTAATAGGCCGTGCTTGTGAAAGTTGCTACAGTAAGTAAAAGTGTGATATGTCTGTGTGCGTGTGCATGCATGTCCTCGGAGAAGTGTATGGAACTCTTTCTTCTGGAAGTAGCTTCCTCATAAAAAGGAGAATGTGAAGTGAATGGAGAAATCGAGTCACAAAAAGTTCTATGTGTATATCATTCATCAAGAGTTTTAAGTATGTATATATCATTGTAAAGAGAGCTTGCAATTAGTCTATGCTATTTTTGAAAAAGTATACTGTCATCCTGTGCCTCTATATTTATGTGTAAATATATTAGTAAATATTTGTCCTACATAGATTGATTAGATTTTATTTTCTTCTTCTTTTAGTTACACAGTCGCATCAATGGTATTCCTGGGGTCCACCCAACATGCAGTGTAGATTATGTGCACCATGTTGGATTTATTGGAAAAAGTATGGTGGTCTTAAAATGCCAACTCTAACAAATGAAGATAGATTTTCACCCAATCAAACCACAGAGGTAATGCTTCATTGTTGTTAGTACTTAGCATCTTTGCTATTTTATCTTAATTCATGTGCTTCATTTTCTTTTGTATATATTAAAATATATTTAAATCATTGTATGACTTACTCAGTCAGCTAACTTTTACAAGTTTTGTGTATGCTACTAAGTTACAGTATCTCCCCATTTAGTGCTTACCAAATGTGTTGGAATTATATCTACATCATAGTATTTAAGTCTGTATTTAGGGACATAACTTCCTTGAATAATTTCTTGCACTTCCCACTTACTTGGCCAACCATGCTGCACCCACATTCCATTCCCAATTCTGTCTTGCCTGTTTTCCTCCTGATACAACTCCAGATCATCAGTCTCAATTTTGACTCCTCTTCCTCCAGCTTGGCTGTCCTGATAGGTTTTCATCATGTATCTTGCCTAGTAGGAAAATGAAGTTGTCTTATTCTTCAGCCACAGCAATATGTACATCCAAGAGGCCATGGCTAAAGAAGAGGTAGGTGATAGAAGAGCAGGGAGCAAGAACATTGGAACCTCCTGTTGGATATTGCAAAGTGTCCACTCAGCCTGAGCCTGTCTCTTGTAAAGCTCCTTTCTATGGAATGAACTTTTAGGTTTGTTCTTGATAATTTCAGAGTCCAACACAGATACAGATCAATGCATAGATGGGATTCCAGACAGAAATGTGTTTACATTCAATGTCATTGTTATTGTTGTTACTGTTATTTTCCTTTTGTTATTTATTAAATGTATATGTCACCAATCTCCGAACAATCTCTGGGTGGTTATACAACAAAAATATTTTAAAAAAGAAAAGAAATACAATGATAGACCAAAAATGAAAATTTATTTATATATTGATTTTATTTTATTTGTATAATTGGCCATCTAAAACCACTGACTTTGGGTGCCAGTGTGGTTATTATTGTTATTCTTATTTATTTCAGGATTCATGTGTCCGAACACATATGTCACGACAAGCAACTCAGGGCATACCAGTCCGGAACACTGGTAGTCCAAAATCTGCAGTGAAGACACGTCAATCTTTCTTTCTTCATACTACATATTTGACTAAACTTGCCCGCCAGGTTTGCAGAAATACCTTACAACTGAAGCGAGCTGCAAGAAGACCTTTTG